AGCCTAGGAGTTGGAGGTTGCTGTAAGCTGTGATGCCACAGCACTCTACCGAGGGCAACAAAATGAGACTCTGTCTCTACAAAAAAAAAAAAAAAAAAATAGAAAGGCCAGCCATGGTGGCTCATGCCTGTAATCCTAGCACTCTGGGAGGCTGAGGAAGGTGGACTGCCTGAGCTCAGAGGTCCAAGACCAGCCTGAGCCAGAGTGAAATCTCATCTCTAAAAATAGCTGAGTGTTGTGATGGGTGCCTATAGTCCCAGCTACTTGGGAGGCTGAAGCAAGAGAAATGCTTGAGTCCAAGAATTTGAGGTTGCTGTGAGCTGTGATGCCATGGTACTCTACCAAGGGCAGTAAAGTGAGACTCTGTCAAACAAATAAATAAAATAAAATAGAAAAACTAGTTGGGGCTTGGCACCTATAGCTCAAGCAGCTAAGGCACCAGCCACACACAAGAGCTAGCAGTTCAAATCCAGGGCCTGCCAAACAACAATGACAACTACAACAAAAAATTGCCAGGCATTGTGGCTGGAGCCTGTAGTCCCAGCTACTTAGGAGGCTGAGGCAAGAGAATCACTGAAGCCCAGGAGCAGGAGGTTGCTGTGTGCTGTGATGCCATGGCACTCTACCCAGGGTGACAGCTTAAGGCTCTGTCTCAAAAAAAAAAAAGGAAAGAAAAAGTAGTTGAGTGTTGTGGTAGGTGCCTGTAGTCTCAGCTACACAGGAGGCTAAAGCAAGAGGATCACTTGAACCCAAGAATTTGAGGTTGCTGTGAGCTCTAACACCATGATACTCTAACCAGAGCATCAGAGTGAGACTCTGTCTCAAAAAAAACAAAAAGAAGAGAGAAAGAGAAAAAAACAGAGCAGACAGTGACACAGAGAGAACACCATGTGATGACAGAGCCAGAGATTAAGGTGCAAGCCAAGAAGGTCTAGCCACCACCATCTTTACTTACAAAGAGGCAAGGAAGGATTTTACCCAGGGTTTCAAAGGGAGCAAGGCCCTGTTGACAGCTTGATTTCAGACTTCAAGTCTCCAAAGTATAAAACAATAGATTTCTGTTGCTTTAAGCCACACAGATTGTGCTATTTTGTTATAGTTGCCATAAGAAACTAATGGAGCAGGCTGTGCCTGTGGCTAAGTGAGTAGGGCGCCAGCCCCATATATGAATGGTGGCAGGTTCAAACCCAGCCCCAGCCAAACTGCAACAACAAAGAAATAGCTGGGCATTGTGGTGGGCACCTGTGGCCCTAGCTACTTGGGAGGCTGAGGCAAAAGAATTGCCTAAGCCCAAGAGCTGGAAGTTGCTGTGAGCTGTGACGCTACTGCACTCTACTGAGGGCAACAAAGACTCTGTCTCTAAAAAAAAAGAAAGGATGGCTCAGCACCTATAGCTCAACCGGCTAGGGCGCAAGCCACGTACACCTAAGGTGGCGGGTTCGAATCCCCAGCCCGGACC